AAAAAAAAAAAAAAAAAAAAAAAAAAAAAAAAAAAAAAAAAAAAAAAAAAAAAAAAAAAAAAAAAAAAAAAAAAAAAAAAAAAAAAAAAAAAAAAAAAAAAAAAAAAAAAAAAAAAAAAAAAAAAAAAAAAAAAAAAAAAAAAAAAAAAAAAAAAAAAAAAAAAAAAAAAAAAAAAAAAAAAAAAAAAAAAAAAAAAAAAAAAAAAAAAAAAAAAAAAAAAAAAAAAAAAAAAAAAAAAAAAAAAAAAAAAAAAAAAAAAAAAAAAAAAAAAAAAAAAAAAAAAAAAAAAAAAAAAAAAAAAAAAAAAAAAAAAAAAAAAAAAAAAAAAAAAAAAAAAAAAAAAAAAAAAAAAAAAAATAATAAGGAACCATTTGGTCATTACAGAATCTTCTGTAGGTACTGTTAGCTGACGTCTCCTTTTCATTATTCATTCTTCTTCTCCTCTATGGCTATTGTGTTTCGTGTCATGAACTTGTGACGTGACGTTCAAATAAACCCTAGTCCGAGCTGTCAAGTGTGACAGCTCGGAGCAGCCAGTTGGGTTTTTAGCGCGTTTTCGGTGTGGTTGAGTTGTGTGCTCCCGACGTGAATTAGATGGTTTTTCCCAAGGGAACTCAGTATTAGTTAACAGTAGGTATTTAAAATTACAAAATAAAACTTCTTCAGTGTTAATTACTTAAAACAATGTCTAGTCACAATTGTTAAATAATATGGAGCTATTCGTTGTCTCCCCACCGCCCCCTCAAGCCCTCCGCCGGCCTGGCGCGCCCATCGAATACATTTTTAGCCGTATCGTTTTGGCTAATGTGCACATTAGCCGGCTAAAGATGGAATATCATGACGCAAACTAACATGTTATCGAACTTTAGCTGCTTCTCGAAGCTAAACTTAAGTTTAGCCGGCTAATCTTAAGTTTATGTTCACACCTATCTTTAGCCGTAACATATATATTGTTAGAGTATTTTATCTGTAGTTATTACTGTATTTGTGTACATTGTATGTTTATTATGAGTTATTTTAGTATTGTACGCGCCTTAGCCGCCTCTCACATTTGCAGTCTCACTTACTAGGTGTGCTGGAAGAAATTTCTTTTTAGAAATAATCTTTTTGTACGTGAACAATAAACTATAAATAAATAAATAAGAATGACGTCAATTTCGAAACACCCCCCCCCCCGTCTACACTTTTGCGTACATCGCATAACCATCACCCCCCCCCCCCCCCCCACAGTGCACAAATTAACAGACCAACCCCCCCCCCCCCCTAATTTAGAATGACGTAATATATGGACGGCCCCTTTACATTGAATCATAAGTTTGCACAGACATTATGATTGGCAATGAACACGCATTCTAGATATAAATAAGCACTAAGTATTAGATATACTCAACTACAATATATAAAATTTTCCATAGCAAGTGGAAAATTTTAATTCACTTGGGTTAATTTAGTTAATTTTATTTTTAAAAACAGAAGAAGTATTTTACATGTCTCAAACAAAACCTTCTTGCCCTAACCAGAGTGCTATAAGACAATAAGAACAAGTACAGCAAAAACTTCATCAAAACTGGTAAGAGTTCGTTCGTTTTTGCCAAATGACGTCCACTGCTGGACAAAAGCCCCCAAGGATTTTCTGCCCGCATCCAGGATTTTCTCGTGAGTAGAAGAGTGATAACCTCTTTCTGTTTGAAATCGGTAAAAAACGTACAATGGTGGACCGACGACATCATAAAGGTAGCAGGAAGGCGCTGGACGCAGGCCGCTACCAACTGGGCAACATGGAAAGCATTGGGAGATGCCTATGTTCAGCAGTGGACGTCCTAGGGCTGAGATGATGATGATGATTTTGAAAAAACGTACAATGCTCTCACGTATAAGTTTTGTTCGCCACCAAACCCGACATCTATGTAGTTTTCTAGCGATGCCAAAGAATACATTAAAGGGATGAAAATAGCCATTGCAGTAGTATTATCGTAATACCTACTTAATGCATTCGAGCTAGTGATGCAACGAATACTAATTTTACGAATACGAATATTAAATCTACTATTCGGCGAATACGACTACGAATATCTCTAGTCTCTACTTAGGTACATAGTCATGAAATACTCATAAAAACTCTTTTAATAATATTAATTAACCATATTATGGTTAATGTTTTAGTAATTAAAATTTACAAATGGCATTTTTTTTTGTTATTGTATCATTTTACTTTGTAACTAATCACAAAACAAAATAATACTTGTACAATCGACCTGCTATTAGCTGTGAAATTCCGGAAGATACTTACTACTTTGTTACATACTGACCGGGGTTTTCCCGTCGTGTCGTTGTGGCTATAGTGTTTGCAGATACACAACACGTGTGTGACAAAATTTTAAAAAAAGTAGGTGTGCGTATTCGTAATTATTATTTCACCGAATACGAATATTTTGTAAATGTCTACTATTCGGCGAATACGAATATTCGTATTCGTTGCATCAGTAATTCGAGCGCATATATGTATTTTCAATGAGATATACATCACGTTCAGTATTAAAAATAACTGGCGTCCGAATGTTTATATTTATTTAGTCCTTTGTTGCCTAAAATGGCTAAAAATTTTTTATATCCATAACGAGGAAGTATGAAGGAAAGTAATGAATGACCAATAGGGTTCTTTTTACCCTTTAGGTACGGTACCCTGAAAGAAAACCTCAATAAATGGCTTGTTTTGAACATAATAATTATAAAGTTAGAAACTCAAAAATTAGTACTATGTACTTTGATCGAGACTAGCGTCAAATATTAGGTTATAGTACTCATAGTAGTAGTTAGTAGTTCGAACTGTGTTCGAACTTTAGATCGATCGCATTCACGTAGTTCGTAAACATGGCAAAAGATGGCGTTAGCGTTGATTGAAACTATTTATATGACGACTGAACAAATAAAAATATTTTTCCTCATTCATTTATCGTGATTTTACCACCTGCATTTATTTTGTTATTTTAACGAATCGTAACTGTACCAAATGGTAAAAGAGTTTAGTAGCTTGCTGGCTTTATGAATACGTAACTATGTTTAACATGAATAACAACATACATATTAATTGCATGTCATGTGAGCTTTAGAATATATTACAACTTTTACAGAATTAGATAGATACACCACACAAAACAAGAAAAGAAAGAAAAAAAAGGCGCTACAATTTAGTTCGTGTTATCGCTATGAAGCGACCTCGCCCAGACAACCAATGAATGAACCTAATGAATTTACAAAATAGAAGTGGCTATTCAGCTATTTCTTACTTAATATTGTCTCCTAAAATCCTATAATGAAATGAGTGGTAGGTATTTATTATAATAAATTAATTAATTACTAACATAGTTGTTTATGGCACCCATTTACTAACCATGTGGATCATTGTTATTTTTAAATAAATAAATTGAATTGAATTAAAAAAATAATGACAACAAAATTCTGCTTTTCTGGTTCCCGCAAAAGAGAAGTTTTATACCCGTGTTCACAAACGATGCTTGCTTAAGTGATGCAGCAAATCGAACGCACAGCGTTGAATAGAGCTCTGTGATTGGTTCGTGTGTCACCCTGTGCGTCCACGCGCACTGAGAGACCTCATAGTAATGTTTGTGAATACGGGCCGGGCGTTAGTTGTTTTTGTATTTATCAATTTTTAATAATGTAACGATGCATGTAAATTGATATGTTGTTGGTAAATCTTCAACAATAAATAAATAATAATCAGCGAATTCGTAATAACACAGGTAATGTCACTGATTTAAACTACATGCATTGCTGTATCAGAAAAACAAATATTTGATATTCATGTGACGCACTTTTCAAAGAGCATGCTGTTTTTTTTTAATATAGTGCACAGTGTGCACTGCACACCTACTATTGGTACTAGGTTGATATTTACTGTTGTACAAAAACTACAAATGTACAAAATGTTTTTTTTTTATGCTAGGCAGGTATTTGACCGCAATCGCACCTTTTATGAGATCTCTAAATATTACATGACTAATAATGAATTATTATTTTTGTTTCAGGTATGTATTGCACGTGATTTTATGTTTTCATCTTGATACGTACGTACGTTTATTAACTTTAATTCTTATAACATTGTTTTTATTTATTTATAAATGTGGTACTTTATGACACTTTATGTACTTGTAATAAACCAGTAGAGCACACTATTAGTACCAACTTCTTAAAAAAATATCAACACAAATTCTGGCCTGTCTGTCTGTTTTATTATTGTATCTGTGATAATAATATGGGAATATAATAAAAATACAAATTAAACAACAGTTATTATTATTGTTTATTAAGCTAGCAAGTATACAGTCTTTGCAATGTTTATTTCCCTTCTGCTTCATTCTGAATTGCTTCAAAAAATTATCAAGTTATTAACTATGGACTATTTTCATGTCTGGTAATAATAACTACATTATGAATATTACAAATTGATTAATTAAGTAGGATATTACAGATTCTTTTAAATACGAGTACGCATATGTACTCGTTCTCTTATTTCGTTAATTAATTGTACATCCTATAAATATAAATAAAAGACAAAAAGGAAATATTTATATGTAGTACTTAATAATAATAATACACTTGGTGTACCTAAATATGTTACCTAAAATAATAGTATTATCTTTTCAACTTAGTCTATACTTCTTTATTGATATTATAAAAAGAAATTGATTGTTTGTTTGTATGAATAGGCTCCGAAACTACTGGACCAATTTGAAAAATGCTAGAATCCTATTTTGTCTGCTGATTATTATGCTTCTCTATAATATTAGTATGATTAAAAGTTCAATAATTAAATTAAACATTTAAATACTTTTTTTTAACATTTAAATAGTTATAAAAAAGAAGTGTTTAAAAAAGAAACTACAAGTCTCTAAGTATATAAAAATCTAAATGCTTATTTAAAATTAATTAAGTTATCGTTGCAGAAACAGGCATTCAAATGTAAAAAAAAACAACAAGCTTAAAATCACAACACACTTTGTATTACGTAGTAAATCAAACAGGTAAGAGGCCTACCTATCAACATACTTACCACTGCTAGTACGCTCATTAAAAAGGACAGTTATATTAATTAAATAACAACAAAGAACTAAACAATAAGTACCCTACACGGTAAAAACAAAGGGTAGTGGCATTAGTGGCCACTGTATCTATGTTGGCCACTTAAGGTGGATTAAAGACAAACTGGAATTTAAAATATTTTTAAAACTGGATTTTTTTTTCAGTTGAAAAACCAAGAACTGATTTTGTAAACCAGAGCTGGCTTCATTACTTACTATCTACCCTAATGAGATACGAGATACAGTGACATACAATAAACGTTTTGAATTTGAATTTGACATCTTTTAGCGATCACATCTTCCCAGACTAGACTTTATTTTACAGCCTCCTTCGCAAGTTCTACATTGGTTCTTGCTCTCTACTTGTTCTTTGCGTGATAGCTGAAAACACTCTTGAAAACCTAGGTTGCGATCTGATTTTATCAAGGACATTGTAGCGTTTACACCCGAAAATAGAAACGCCAGTGAGTATTATAAAAGCGGCTAGCAAACCTAAAATGAGGCCTAGGTTTGAGGTCTCTTCTCCTGTATGCTTGTCTGGTGAACTGGTGGTAGTTCGTGAATCCTCTGATGATACTGCTGATGCTATTGCGTAATACTTACTGAGAGAATTTTCCCAAAAGTTGACATATTGATCATGGGGTTTTGAGACCGGGTTCTCAAAGAACTCTTCAAGGCGATCTGAACTGCCGCGGTATCCACCTATGGCCAAACAGGTATCCTCATTGGTGTACGGTGGCCATAGAATCTCCCCTTCTGGTTGTCTGTTAAAGAAAACATCAAACATTAAACAAAACAACTCATAGACGTTGTAAGATACAAATAAATATTTAAGCTGATTGAGGATCTCAATATTAAAATTTTTAAAAACATTTTTTATAAAAAATAGTAAAGGATATTTAAAATCTTACCCGGTATTTGCAAATGTAACAAGGCGGTTTGTGAAAGCATTCTTCGGTTTGTCGGGTCGCTTAATAGTATCTAAGTCGAAAATGTAGCTGAGTACAGCACCATGCTGCACACCATTCAACCGAATAGTTGGGTAAGGCCAATCGTAGTTTACATCTTTGTATATGAACTCAAACATCCAAACCTCCGAATTCACTTTAGCTCTCTCTCTCACACCCCTAATTACAGGAATTGTGATTAAAGAATCACCTTCGTAAGCCAAAAAATCGTTGATGTTTTCATTGTCCAGTTCCTTTTTACTGCCGAAGTAAGACTCACGAAGTTTTTTGGCTGCATTTTTTTGTGTTGTGTTGTCCTTGAACGCCAAATTTGCGGGGAGGAAAGGAACGAAGTCATCTGACATCATTTTCAACCAGTTACCATGGACTGCTTGTTCAGCGCGTATGGTCCCTTCAACATCCACGTAACCCGCTATGAACGGTATCTAAAATAAACATAAATATATTGTTTCATTCTGATCTCACTAATTTATGTCTGGAAAATACATTTTTTTTAGTTATTGTTCTATGTGACTAGGCCAAGTCATTCAAAATTGAATTGATTTCAACATTTGGGCTCATTACATTTATAACATTATTGGAGTCTAATCGTGAGTTTATAAAATCTTGAATCTAGAGTTTGTATTTGTTGAGCATATACCTGTAAATGTTTCCCTGCTTTGATGATATTTGAAGGGTCGTCAACCAGCAATGATCCCACCAACTGGGTGTTCTCCACACATGGGGCAAATAACACGGAGTTATTTGTGAATGTGAAATTGTTAATTTCAGTTACCTGTGGATGAGGAATACACATACTTTTTCATTTATTTTGTACTTTTTTAAAATGCTTAATTTTTAAGATGAATGTGGTTGTGGTAAATCCACCTGCTGGTGACTGTACATAATTATTGAGTGAAATTGATTTTTGAATCTCATAGCAGTTTATTTTGTAGTTTTGTAAGACAAAAACTAATCTAACAATTACCAAGACATTTATGGCGGCCTTTTGGAGGTGCTTCGCTAGTTCTGAGTTCTTTTTGTGAGTGTAACCAAGTTTGGCGCCTAAAGCCCTGGCATACCCAATCGGGTCATAGGCAACTGCATACGGGGAGAACGCAGACCCACTGATTGCTACAGCTTTGTGAACCAAGCCTTGGGCCTGGGTCGAGAGCGTCAGTAAGTCTACCATGGCGGCTCCAGATCCGTGGCCAAACAACATGACATTTGCCGGGTTCCCGCCAAAACCAACCACATTATCTTTAATCCATTCCAACGCTCGGACGACATCTTTCAAGCCAGCATTACCAGGAGCCTCTTCCACCCCAAGGCATAAGAATCCGAATATGGATAGCCTGTAATTGATAGCTACTACTACAATATCGGCTTCGACAAGCGATCTGAAGGAGTAGCGAGGTGTGTCGTTGGTGTTGGAATAGTCTTCTCCAGCAAGCCAGACTAGGACCGGCTTGGGGGTGGTGAAGTTTTTGGTGAAGATGTTGAGCGTGAGGCAGTCTTCGACCCCGGCCAGGCCGTGGATGGTGGGCTGGGCACAGAGTATGTTGGCGTCGCGCGCTTCGAAGTCAGCATTCCGAAGCTCAGGTTTTCGTGGTGCCTGTAACGATAAATGAATGGTGTCAGATACTGAGTGTTATTTTTCGCGCGCTATGGTTGAGTGGTTTGAGAGGCGGTCTCAGTCCAGAGGTCCTGAGTTTGATTCCTCCGTGTCACAAATAAAGTGAAATCACTGGGTATGGTTATCATTATTGACCTAATTGATTAAATACACTGCGTGATTTGAATGGGTGTTGCAGCCGGTACCTCAAAAGTTACTTACTTACAGTCAAAATAGTATGGTAGCTAGTGCTAGTACTTATCGATAAAATTGGCTTAGCAAATTAATAACAGTGTTAACTATATTTTTTTTATATTTTAGACTAGCTAAACTATCGTCACATTCCTTTATGGCTGTTTATAGTAAGTTTTGTTTCCCTAACTTCGTTACTGCCAATCGAATATAGACCATACTGCATTAAGTTAAAGTTAAAACATTTAAAATTAGGTGACAAAATATACACGAGAGGAATTTTATTATCAATGGGTAAATATTACACAAGGTCAACAAGGCACACTTTTTCTGATAATGGTAAAAGTATTTTGTTAACGAGATTTATTTTTGCCAATTTTATAGTGCTACAATATAATATAAGTTGCACAATGAAACACAAGTAGGTATTAGTAAACTAGTATTCCTTTAACTTTATTTTTGTGTATTGAGCATTTTGACATTTCAGCTGTCACTTTAGTAAACCACTATTGGCCTAAGTTTGACTTCGGCAAATCCTATTGGTTATTCAACTGACAGTTTAGATACGTGATCAAAATAAACCCACTTTATACCGAAATTCGCCAGACACGGACCCAGCGTACGGGATTCCGTAAAAAGCTGTGTAGTCACCGTCAGTAGCTTTTACACCAACGACGGGCCCCTCTGTAGTGTTCACTTTCAATCCATCTTGCACTGTTTGTGCGGCAACACAGGTTATAAACACACAAGTTATCGGTATTAATATCAGCATCTTGTACGCCTGCGCGCGACGCGGTCCTCGGTCGGGCGGCAGACGTCAACTGACTCACGGTCACGTCACGCGGCCACGCACGCTTACTCACTGGAGACGCCCCGCCATTTAGTGCGGTGATAGAGCTCGACTGGATATCGATTAAATAAAATCCCATCAAAAACAATACTTGTCAAAAAAACCAAGTCTCGCAACTCAGTTGTTCTACCGTAAAAAGTTGTGAGATCCATGTAATACCAAGTCCAGGCCAGGAAATCTTTAACGTTTTACATAAATTATTGACTTGGCCATCGCACTAAATAATTTAATTTACTCGTGTTTTCATGCGATGGCCAAGTCAATATATTTCTGTAAAACGTTAAAGATTTCCTGGCCTGGACTTGGTATTACATGGATCTCACAACTTTTTACGGTAGAACAACTGAGTTGCGAGACTTGGTTTTTTTGACAAGTATTGTTTTTGATGGGATCTCATTTCTTTTTGTATTTTGTAGACAGCAGTTATGTATCTAGAAAACTGGACCGAAATTGAAAAATTTTACTCGACTTGAAACAAAACGCATCATGTACTTAATTATTTATTGAATTCAAAGTACCTACCTAATAACAATAAGATAAATCGACTTAAAAGTCTCGATTTCATAAAAAAGGAAGTGTATTTGTACGGCGAACAATTGGGAAATAAATTTTCTTGTTACTGGTATCATTCCCGTATTTAATTTTTGAAAGCCAAATTGAAGCAAAATACGCGTCGAATTGTAGTACTTTCTTATGAAATGTAACTCTGGTCACTTTCTTTCGTTTTTCTTATGTATTTTAGACACCCTTTCACAGCACAAACCATTTTAATTAATTAAAATTCGTCGGACGTGTTTACCAATTTTTCACTTTGACAGTTCATGTGACGTTTACGGGTAAGCCGTGCCGGCTCCCTAAAAACTGCCTCACTTTTCGTGCACTGACTATCTATCTAGGTTTTATTAATCTAAGGTTGTGACTCACACTGTATAAGTAGCACCAAACTAGCTAGAAAGTGTAGAATGTAACCCAACATGGTGTTGGCGATAATATTTTAGTAGAAGCTTTGGATTATATGGGAATTTTTAGTTTTACTCTGGAATTTTTAGTACTAAGTTAATCATTTACATTCAAAATAAAACTTTGTTCACTGATTTCTTTGAACTAAGCTCTGCCATTTAATAATAATAATATGTAGTTTAAAAAACATATTGCGGTACCTTACAAACTTACTTAAGTACCCTCATAATATGGAGTACTTCTCTAGGAGGAGTCGTAGGTCGTAGGTCTCTCTCTAGCAATGAACATTAAAACAAGTGTTACTATCGACACGATAAAATCCAAAAAAATACTCACTACTACCCATTGCTACCTATTGTAGCGATTGCGAGGTGCGCCGCGGTTTTTACAGACGCTTTCGAGCTTGTTGTCTTTTTCACGCATTCCAGTATCAAGCGGGAGCGAAAGAGACGGAAAGAACCGAAGTAACCGAAAACATTTTTATTTATTTTTATAGTTCATTCAACTTATGATGGTGATTTAGACAGATGAAACGTTTCGTTTTATGATTCTAACTTTCTACGAATAAAAATATTGAGTTGTAAAAATCAATTACTTTTGTGTGTTTTCATCCTTCCAAAATATCAATCACTAATCTTTCTCAATTAACCTAAACAAGAATTTCTAATTATTTATTAGTTTATTATTTAGAAAAAATATGAAATGAATTGCTTCTGCGTTAGTCGGAACTTTTGCTCATAAGGATGGGACATAAACCAGTAATCGGCATGGTGGTCTTCTTAAAATCGAATCACGATTATTATCTCAGGCAGGTCAAAGCTAAGTCAGTACGTGTGCGTTTGCCTTTGATGACGGTTTTGTTTTATGCGATTTCTCCACGTATTGTTTGTTATTGGTATTTTGATGTTTTATTGAATAAAATGCATATATTTAATTTTTTGTGATTTATTTTGTACCACTAAGAATATTTACGTTTATTCCATTTCCAGATAGTTCAAATTCATAGATATAATTTTGATCAAGATTAAAAATCAAACAAATATAAGGCGATTAGATTTCTATAGAAAATATTCTCGATTCTAAAAAATATCGATTAGGTTTATAAGGAGCGCCTCACTAAATAGAACTGTCATAATCACCATCTTACGCTGAATGGACTTATAGGTGTTTTTAGGTAGTTAAAAAGTAGGTACGTCATAAAAATAAATAATTTGACAGTAGATTTTTTAAAATACGCCTATGAATGAAAGGCGTACTAATGTTAGTTGTACGTTTCATTTGTTTTTTTTTCATCGATGCTTGATGACGCAGTGGCGCGTGTCACGCTGATTCTTGACCACTAGAGCTCTCAGGTTCGATAGAATGTTAAAAATGGAGTGGTCTGTGTGGAGACCACTTTGGAACTTCATCTAGTTACGAGGTTTCTTTCTTCTTAACTTTTAATGTGTATGTTATATAAGTATAGGAAGAATATTTTGATTTATTATTTAGTGTCTACTATCTACTTAACTAATGTGTCACCTTAAATAAAATCTATCTAAAGTAGAAGCTTTCTTCATTTTCTACATGGTGTGTAATGCTAACAACGTGTAAACGTGTTTTAACAAATTATTTAGGCAAAAATGTGTTTTTAGGTAACTAAGTCAGATTTAATCAAATTATTATTGAATAATAAACGCTGTATTTTATGTGTTAAGTACCTATAATGTATTTTCCTGTATTCTCTGTACCTATTTAGGATAGTTGGATTTAGGTTACGTTAGCGCGCGAAGATGTAGGTATTATTGTAAAATTTCAAATTCAAATTCAAATGTTTTATAGCATATTTTCAGTTAAACCTTTACCTAGTGGTGGCAGATTTGATGCTCCCATATTTTTCACTTATGTGTAGATTGTAGTGAGATATCATCTATACTAATATTATAAAGCTGAAGAGTTTGTTTGTTTGAACCTCATTTATCGAGGAAGGCTATAGGCTTTACAACATCACGCTACGATCAATAGGAGCAGAGCAACAATGAAAAATGTTGCGAAAACGGGTTTTCACGCGTATAGGGTTGCCAGGTCTAAAATCACAAAAGCCGGACTTTGTGCTTCATTTGGCCGGATATTTTACCCTAAAAGCCGGACATGTGCAATTAGTGTCAGCTCATGAGTGAGTACTATCATCATCGGTTGCTAACTGATGCGTGCGCTCCATATGATTCTGTGGCTCGACTTTTGCCTGGCGCGGCAACCAAATAAAAAGCCTAACAAAAGCCGGACAGGCCGGACAAGTCCCTAAAAAGCCAAACATGTCCGGCTAAAGCCTGACGCCTGGCAACCCTACACGCGTACGAAGTCGCGGGCACAGCTATTTAGTAAGGTACAAAATTAATTAATATAAGAAATATTTTTCTCATCACATAACGTCCATCGTTCTATCTAGAACTAATGTTTTCCGTTGACGTTTCACCATGTGTACCTTTTAATCACATGCGCCAGCGCAGCGATTCCATGCTCTGTGCTTTTAATATTAAAAATATTTATGGGTTTTTACAGTCACCGATAGGCCGATATGCGCTATATTGTTATCTGTGGTTATCGTTGGTGGGTGGTTTATTTTGACCGAATTAAATTATGTAAAGTAGGTAGGTAACTAATTAACTGCTTATGTTTATTTGATTATTGATACATTGCAAGAATAGGAAAAATAGCTGCTATTGATCATTTACAAAACGGTCACGTAGTATTGATATCTTGCGCTAGATGGCGCAACTAGTGCGAGCGTGCAACACGTGGTATAATTTTTAATGGAAACTAGTGAACCAACAGTGTTATGTAGGTATAGTAGGTTACCTATAGTTCACTAATTATATTTTAATAAATACTTTGTGGTTAACTATTATAAGTGTTGATAAAAATTACATTAAAAACCCAAATATCTACAGTTCAATTGCGTAAGTGTTACATATTTGAAAAGACTGTACTAGACAAGCGGTTTAGTTATTTGTTTTTTTTAATTACTGAGCAGTGAATTCTATGTAGCGTGAATATTTACCAATAACATAAAAGTACATATTTAGTACGATTTTACCCGCCTCTGTTTTGTTGGCAACACTCGTGAGTGCGTTGTTTTGCACTCATGCGCAGCGTAGATGTATGACACAATTTGCTAAATTAACACACCGCAACTTTGTCATTATCAGAGGTCATTGACTTTGTTATTAAAAGCTTTTATTAGTGAAGAAGTTGAGTGTTTATTAATAGTGACGCCATGGTTTAAAATACCAATGAAATAAAGAGTTTTTGAGTGCGGCCCGGGAAAAAAGGTCAAATGTGTGTTTTTTTACAAATATGTGTGCAGCTGTTATCAAATATATCAAGGTCAGTATAAATTATCCCACAAACCACCTGCTGAATTACGCCGGTGATTATTAAACACATTGCGGTATTTGCGTTAAATATTAGCAATTTGTACCTAAATGCAAATAATCCCGTTAACCCCTCGTGGTAAGCTAAAATGCCTGTGTTACGAGCGGGTTCACAATAGTAGAGCGGTTCCTGGGATCACGAAACGGAACGGAATAAAAAGTATCCTTTGTCCTTCTCCTGGCTCTAAACTACCTCCCTGACAATTTTCAGCTAAATCGGTTCAGCCGTTCTTGAGTTATAAGTGGAGAGTGGAGATGGGAGTGGAGTCTTGTCTCATATCTTGTTGCATAAGCAAGCTGAAGGTTCCTTTTGTGAGGAAAAATAAATGAATGTGGAAGGTATTGGTAATTTTGATAACAAACTCTCAGAAACTAAAGAAGTATTCAATATTATTAAGGGCTTTTGAGATTCTCAAACGACTACGTTAAAATACTAAAAGACAATATGTACTTCCAAATGAGTCCTTAAATAAACAAGAAAGAAAAAAGTTACGTTTTTAACGAGCTGAGTGTAACTTTCCTTCGTTTTTTTCACCTAAAATCCAACTTGTAAGAGACCTGACATTTACTTGGGCACCATTAAAACTTTGGAAGTAAATACGTATACT